ATGAAACAGTCGTCGGAGAAAATGGATTCAAAGGCTAAAACGGCGGTGATTGGGAGAGTCTCAGTGAATTTATCGGAAATTGCTGTGAGAACGGAGAAATCTTCGATTGAGCAGAAGTTGCCTCTGAGCTTGCAGATTGATGGAGTTACAAGGGAAGCTTTCCTCACGGTAATTTGAATCCCTTTTTCCATTTTTTCTGAACAAAAAAAGTTGATTACTTATTAATGATCTGGGATATATTTGATTTGACCTGTTGTAGGGGTCCTAGGGAGATTTTCCTTGTCTCTGTAAGATTTTTTTTGGAAAATAAAAAACATCTATAATTTTTTTTAAGAAAAGTTTTTTTTAGAAATTTTAATGTAACTGATAGTGATTGTTATAATTATGTGAGAGAATCAACAATATTTTTTAGTTGAAAAATATATAATAAAGATTACTTATATTTTTGTATTTATGTAAGAGGAATTGTTGAGGAAAAGTGAGATGGGATGGATAATAGTTTTTATTTTTTTTTAAAAAAAATATTTATTGAGATTAATCTTGACCAAAATACAAAACTGAAAAAAAATCTTAAAACGAATGGCAGCCTAAGATTTATTTTTTCTACCAGTCAATAAGCCAGAAAAAAAAAAGTGCAGATGATGATTAGTTTTATCATTTATTCCATTGTAACAACCAGCATAACTTGTCAATTGAATTTCCTACTGCGTATTATGTTTTTCATATATTATGCCAGTTAGTCAACGAAAATCTGTATTCAATTAAGGCTGTTATGGTCATAAGAAATAATCAAATTACAACTTAATCAATATTAATTATAATCTGGTTGACTTTCGGCTAATTGTTTGTTTGTGTGTAATCATGCGCGACTTTTTCTCTTGAAATGTATGAATTGACCTGCACTCACCTTATCATAATTGGTGTTGAATCAGCTGGACCACTTCATTTTATTTTATTTTAGAAAAAAATATATCGATAAAACAAGTGAGAGTAGTTAAAAAAGTTGGACTAGGTCATGTTTTATAAATTATGAACAACTCTTAGCTTTTGATATGAGGTCAATAATGGGAGAATACCATAACAAGTAATCCTAACAGATGAGCTTGGTAAAAGACTAACCTGTGTATGATGGCAATAAATCACACTTGGCTTAATTTCCTTTTAAATTATTAGTAGTACAGTTTTCTACTTCCTAAAAGCTGAGGGGCCGCGGCTAATGAAGTTATTATACTAGGTTGAGTTATCTAGTTAACTAGTCACAATAATGGCTAGATTGTCTGTTCATCTTTGAATTTGTCTCCATGCACCTACACTAGCTGGACTTGTATTTTTCAGGATTTTATAAAATTTTATCGGAGCCTAATTTTCCGTCTACCAAGTCTGGGTAAAACGGCTGCATCGAATCTGTTGTTTTCTTACGTGTTATTATGTGCAACTAAAGATTAAGCAGGAATATGGTAGTTTTAACTGGAAACAATATTACACCTGCAGGTGTTATTTAATTTTGTTGAAATAAGAGATTCCCAAGAACCAATGGCTATAACTCGTGTCGGATCAGTAAACATCTCAAGCACAGGCGAACAGAAAACAGAAAGTGTGAAAGCAAGAAGAAGATCATTGAGCCAAGAGGAAGTAAGCCTGGACGAATCGGATGAGTCGAGCACTTTAGAGGCTCAAGATGTCAAGCCGACCACCCTTGCTTTCGGACATGTGCCGGCCTCAGACAAGAAAGAAGGATGGTTTTCCTGGAAAAATAGGAGGTTTTATACTTTTAAGCGCGCAAAGACCAAAGAAGAGAAATTTGATGAAAAGCCCGAAAGCTCTTGCAACTCTTTGAGTGAGAGCAAGATCGATATCCATCCTAAATCGTCTTCGACTGGATCAGAGGTATATTGAATCATATGTTGTTTCTCTTATGCATTGATGTCAGTTGATTGAAATAGAAATAAATAAAAAAATAAAAAAAAAATGAGTGATTTTCGGGTTCCAAATTTCAAAAATTTTGACTTGGGTTGAAATTTTCAAGCAAAAGTACTACTGTTTGAAGGTTTGAATCATCATACCCCTGTTGTGGTACTGAGTTTATGGCTATTTAACCTTAATTTAAGGTATAATTTAATCTAGTTTCATTTTTTCATACGACTTCTTCAATTTTAGACATTAAAATCTTTGTTAAGTCTATAGACTATAGCAATTTCCTCGTTCATAGACTCATAGTCTTATGCAATTTCAAGAAAAGCAACAACCTCCAATAGACTTTTTCAACTATTTCTGAGTTTATATTTACATAATAAACCCTTGTTTAAAACAACAAGCAAAAGTACTAATGTAGTACTGTGTGAAGGTTTAAATCATCACACCCCTGTCGTGTGGTACTGACTACTGAGTTTCCTCGTTCATAGGCAATTTGAAGAAAGGCACAATCTCCAATAGACTTTTTCAACTATTTCTGTGTTTATTTACATAATAACCCTTGTTCAACCCCTTATCTCCTTCCAGAAAGATATTCCAGAACCAGACATCACCCAAGACAACCCAGAAGGCTCCTGGGAACAAAAGGAGCTCGTAAGCCGAGACGGACAATCGAAACTCACAGCACCCGTCTTCCTCGCCTCGTTCGACCAGCGCAGCCCGAAAGCCGCCGGCGAAGGCGCCTGCACGGCCCTAGTCGCCGTCATATCCCACTGGCTCCTCTCCAACCCCACCAAACCCAACCCCAACCGTCCAGACCTCGACTCCCTCATAATCCACGGCTCTTCTGAGTGGCAAAAACTCTGCCAAGACACCACATACTCGTCCGACTTCCCCAACCGCCACTTCGACCTCGAAACCGTCCTCCGGGCCCGCATACGGCCCGTCTCCATCTCCCATAACAGCTCGTTCGTCGGCTTCTTCGGTGCCAATAAATTCGAGTCCCTTAAAGGGGCCATGTCCTTCGACGACATCTGGCACGAGATCACTCGAAATATCGATAGCGACGAGCCGCGAGTTTATATAGTGAGCTGGAACGACCATTTTTTCGTGCTGAAGGTGGATTCGGAAGCGTACTACGTTATCGACACTTTGGGGGAGAGGCTTTTCGAGGGGTGTGATCGGGCGTACGTGCTGAGGTTCGATAATAGCGCGGTCATGACGGAGATTAAAGAGGAAGAGAAGATGATATGCAGTGGGAAAGAGTGCTGTCGGGAGTTTATCAAGAGATTCTTGGCGGCTATACCGTTGAAGGAGATGGAAGACGAGGAGAGGAAGAATGGGGTTTCGTATTTTTCACTTCACCACAGGCTGCAGATCGAATTCAACTACACCTGCTTATTGTCGTCTTTCGATTCTTCTTCTAACTCGTCGTCACTAATGTCGTCTCCGTTCTCTTGCTCGACCTCGACTACTAATTCTATGTCTTCTCCCCTGTGAATGTGAGTGGTTGTTTGGACCGGAATTGTTAAAATTACCCGGTTCTTGTTTTGTTTCGCATCTCAATAAAAGTTTGGGTCTTTTCGTTCGTTTTCTGAGCTTTAGGCCATGTTATTCTGATTCTACTCCACTATCGATAAATTTATAAGGTAGTCATGATTTTTGATGTGGGCATGAGGGATTTTCGAGCCACTTGAAAGTTCACATTACGAAAAAAGGTCAAATCTTTATGAATCCAACAGAGATGGCCCCCTCTTATCTTAAATCAGATTATGATGATCATGTTCAATCGCCATCAATAGAAATGGAGTTGTCAGTGTCAGTATAGAGAGGGGTGAGATGCTACTAAGCTTGTGGGGACCTACAAACTCGAGCCAAAAGCAACTTACTTTTGATAAAAATAGTGAATAACTTTAGACCATGGGCAATCATTTTAATTTTTATCCTTCTTAGGCATGCTCTTTGTCAAAATCCTCTTTTTCTTCCGGGTTTATACTAAATGCTAAGCTAAACCATGGAGTGTAAAATGGTTCCGCTAAGAATATCAAAACACAACACGTGAATCTGAAGAGAAATGAGCACGTAGAAACATTGATGCAGTGGATAGCATATGATAGGGAAGTTCTTCAAGAACACATAACACAGAACAGTTTATTTCTTTATTTCAATATGATAAAAACTAACGTTCATCAGTCACACATACATATTAATACGAACCACCTATAATAAAAGCCCAAATACTTAAAAACCCAACACAACATAAACAAAGGTCCAAACACAATAAGCCCAATACACATAAATAAATACAAACACACATACTAAAATAAATATAATAATATCACACTAAAGATCGGAGCCGATCATGTTTGTCGAGAAATGTCAATGTACTCTCATCGACATCATTTTCCCCCGATTGGAGAGGATTCTCCCTCGAATCTGCACAACTCTCATCGACAGACTGGTCACCGTGAAAAGGCACCAAATGCTTGGCCTTATCTTCGGAAGAGATGTGGGGTGACAAAAGAGACGGACGAAGGACAAGCGCGTGACCCACGTCTCCCGAAACATGCACTTCGGGAACCTCTGGCTCTTTATCGAAAATTGGAGGACCATCGTAAGTAGTCGAATCTGGCTCGTCAACAATCAAAGCTCGTGGCCCTCTCGCCTTCGGGCACTGTGCCTGGCAATGCCCCGACTCACCACAAGTGAAACAACGCGGACCACTAGACTGCCGATTGCCACTCCCCATCGTGGGGCCAACTACACGGCCTTCAGAAGGAGCACTCAAATCGAACGGAGCCTTCACCGCAGACGGCGCGGTACCTGAAGTCCCAAGAGGCTCCTTTGTAGACGACGCAAAAGAAGTGCCCCCTTCCAGGCCTGCTGCTGTTCAACCAATAAAGCCCGCTGATGAGCCTCAGAAACAACGCGGACCACTAGACTGTCGATTGCCACTCCCCATCGTGGGGCCAACCACACGGCCTTCAGAAGGAGCACTCAAATCGAACGGAGCCTTCACCGCAGACGGCGCGGTACCCGAAGTCCCAAGAGGCTCCTTTGTAGACGACGCAAAAGAAGTGCCCCCCTTCCAGGCCTGCTGCTATTCAACCAATAAAGCCCGCTGATGAGCCTCAGAAACGGAAGTCGGTGTAAACATATTCAACACATCCTGAATAGAGATATGCAATCCCCTAATATAACGAGAAATCAACTCCTCCTGAGTTTCACGAATATCTACCCGAGCCAAGAGTTCATAAAATTCCTCAGTATAATCATCCACACTACGTTGTCCTTGACGAAGATTTTGCAAACGCTGATATAAAGTACGGACAAAATTAAATGGTAAAAACTCCCGTTCAAGGTACTTACGAATAACCACGATGTGAATTTTGGTTTGCCCTGACGATGTCGCACACCCTTCAATTGTAACCACCAAGCAGCCGCTCTTCCACGAAGGCGAGTCACCACTAAGGGTACACGTCGGTCATCCGGGTCACCTTTGTAATGAAGAGCCGATTCAACGGCTCCCAACCAGACAAGAAAATCAGAAGCATCTATACCCTCAGCAAATTTAGGAAGATCAACCCGAAATGAAGATTCCCAGCGATTAATTCCTTCAACCACAGTCCCAAACCTGCGAAAATGGGCCTCATGCCCAGGCCCACAAAATTGAGCAATTGGGCTTTGAAAATAATTATCAGCGAGATTATTAAATTTGTCATCCCCAAATTCACGCGCAGGAGGAAATCCACGCCGTGCACCAAAATCATCGCCTCCGTACAACTCGCCGTCGGCCCGGTTAGCCGCAAACAGAGCAGGTCCCCGGCGACCCTGTTGCTGCCAGCCGTGAACTTCATCCCCGCCGACAGCCCCTTGCCAGAACGCGCAATCGCCGCCTCGCAGACCGTCGCGGCCTAAGGCATCGCTTCGCCCATGTTGCTGCCATCCACGACCGTCGTCCACGCCGGCAGCCCCTCGTCGGAACTCATGGTCGGCAAATCGGGGTAAATCGCGACCAAGGGCTTCTCGCCTGTGGTCCGCTCTAAAATTGGGAAACCCATGACCTCGACCTATGGATGACGGTTAGGGGATGGAGGGTTGGGAAAACCGTCTTCAGGCTCCCGGTGATGGTGGTCGGCAAAAACACGCGGGCGGGGAAAAGCGTCAGCAAAAGGATTGACGTCGGACCAAGTCCCCTCGCTGTCCTCATCACCGGACAGATGCTGTGGGACCGGTTGACGGGGCGCCCCACCGAATCCTCGTCCACCACGTGCACCTCTTTGACCCCCACGCCCGCCACGACCTCCGGCGACATCACGGTTAACTTGCTGATCCTGCAACATAGCCCATCAATTGCACCCGATCGTCCATACGTTGAAGATGATCGTCAATTTCGGCATCTCGGCGTCTCGACGGCATCGAGAATCGTCCTGGTTAACTGATACCAAATGATGCAGTGGATAGCATATGATGGGGAAGTTCTTCAAGAACACATAACACAAAACATTTTATTTCTTCATTCCAATCTGATAAAAACTGACGTTCATCAGTCACACATATATATTAATACCAACCACCTATAATAAAAGCCCAAATGCTTAAAATCCCAACACAACATAAATAAAGGTCCAAACACAATCAGCTCAATACACATAAATAAATACAAACACACATACTAAAATAAATATAATAATATCATATTAAAGATCGGAGCCGATCATTTTTTTCGAGAAATGCCAATGCACTCTCATCGACATCAAACATCAAGCAAGTCATTCGGATAATTGAAAGCCACTATATTGTTTTTTACCTTTTTCTCAGAGAACATGGCCAAATGAAAGCACTAAACTCCAAGCATTATCCAAATCATGTTATATAATCAAGAAACGGAACTACGAAAGTGCCATTACCTTCTTTCAGTTTCGGTCACTTTTTTTTTCACCATTACAACAGAATAAAGCTATATTACGAAATGGACCCCTCGTGTCTCCTTACTGTGCACAAATACAGGCATATGACATTCACAAATTTATGCACATACAGAGAGAAAGAAAACGGAATGTCAATGGTCATCCCCACTTTGAATACGATATGCATACAGCAAAATATATATAGTCCACAAACCATAGGCCCTTCATCTTTTTAACATACTTTACTAGTCCTCCGGGTCATGTCAAAGCAAAGGCATGACTCCTTCATCTGCAACTTATCAAGAGAACCAAAAATGACGGTCCCAGTATGTTAAAATGGATTATTTTTCAGGCACAATGAAAAAAATAAAATAGAATAAAAGACTCAAATCATTCCTCCCATTGAAAAATATTGCCGCATTTCAATGGGCTCTACAACATCTCAACAATTCGAAGGGGTACAGGTTAACCGTCCAATTTACATATTGAGATTCATGAAAAATCTAAGAGCTACTACAAAACTAACAAACCCAGCATCTTTTTTCCCGAGTCAATCCCGTGTTACAGACAAATGCACACATTCTGCTTTCTCCACATGGCTGAACAATAACCTCAGACAAAACAAATACTGCTGATGATATTAGTTCCCTCTTTTTTCCTCGCAATCAGCTTATGAACCCTCCAGCTTGAAGCTTTACATAAAAATGGTATGATAAACCCAAAATCAGCCCGAGTGAGGGAGAAAGTGTCTGGTCATTTGCCAAGTTTCTTCATGTCTAGACTGCTTGCTTCTATCTTGAGAGGACCAATTACGCCTAATACCATCACATGAGGCCACTGGAGAGCCTAAGCGCAGAGTCAAATCGCATTCCATCCCTCGAACAGCGCTCAAATTGCTTTCGTTATTGGACCCAAGAATAAAATCCGGTGCATCAAGATGAGAACTTGAATTGAAAGCTCTCGAGTGGCAAAGCTTTAGCTCCTCAGTCTGAATTGGACAACTGTTATTACTATTATTATAGTAGTACAATGGGTAAACAGACCACGATGCAGGGGAATTTGTCGGGCCAACGATGGGATTTTTCTTAACAGAATTAGACTTTATATTATGAATATGGTTCTGATCACCTCTGAAGCAAGAACTCAAGGGAAGAGTGGATAATTGTGGGTTGTGATCGATCATGAGGGGTCTTACTGTTTCACGATTCCCATAAGGTTTAGGGCTCAAGCCGTCATTTGGGATGAGGACAGAGGTATTTCCTGAAGTTTCAGGCCTAAGGTAATGCCTTGGAGAGTCATTTCTCTGGCTTCTTGATGCTCTACGAGGGGTGCATCCCAAATGCAGTGCCGCTAAAACAATATTGGAAAAACAAGGAAAATTCACTTTAAGGTGTTTGGTAGATTTTATTACTGCAGGCGGAAAGGCTCACCATCCTACGATTTTGCGAATTTAAATCTACAAAACTCAGCTTCATGCTTATGTCTATGTATCCATTGAAAATAGTTATTTCCATTAATATGAAGAAGTATCATCCAAGTGTAAAGCATTTGTCCTTCCAAAACCACACAAGATTTAGTTCCCACTCTCCCACCTTGCCAGATAGGTAATTAAAGAAATGTTGAAAAAAGAAAAAACAAAACACACAATACAGATACCTTCAATACAAGGCTGCAGAAATGCTTCGCCAGTTTCAGTACTCTCGTCTCTTCGAATTATGGTGTTAATCGCGTCGTTTACTCTCTCCCACAGGGTTTTAAAGTCTGAATACTCAGCCTACAGAAAAGATTCAGAACCCATCAGCTAAAGAAAGCCCAAAAACTAAGTGGGCAAAAATAAAAGAGAAATCTTGGGAGAAATTAAGAGTGAAAAACCTCAGAGTTGGCTTTAGAGTACATAATTTCTTCAGCTTTCAAGACAACAATGGGGAGCTTCTCCTGCCACTCTCTGTTCTTCCTTGTAGCTGAACAATGAACCTCATTCATAACCCTAGACCAAAGCAGCCCATGAAATTCTTGAATTTAACAGAGTAAAGTTAACCCAGCAAACACACACGCCCACACATACAAACACACACAAAAGGTACCTGAAAATTTCTTGAATAACAGATCCCCTAATGGGTTGGTGTCGATCGCTGTGCCAAGCTCTTCTAACACACTCGTACGGTCTTGGGCCTGGTCTTGGCATCTTCAACCACACAGCATAAGATGAGGGCTTTTTTACAAAAATGGAAAAAAAATTAAAAAGGGGTTCTTTTTTGGCTGCTTGATTTGTTCCTCTCGTGTATATGTGGGCTACTTTTATTGTGTCTGCATTTAGGAGTATTGCTGGGTTTTAGGTGAGGGGAAACCCTGTGCATCAACAGCGAGGGATGGCAAAAGAATAAAAAATGGAGGTAACGGTGATTGAGGAGTTTAATAATTTTTAATTATTAAGAGAAATGTTACATTGTCAATTTAATTTACAACTAGCTTGACAACACAAGTACACTAGGCTGGTTATGTATTACTAGTTTTTAAACCCGTGCATTTGCACGGAAAACAATATAATAGAACAAAAAATAATAAAAATATATAAACAATATTAAAAATCATAATATAATCATTGAAAAAATGTTTTAAGAAATAATAACTAAATATTGTTAAACAATTTTTTATATACAACGTTTGTGGTTTTTCTATCAACATAATTTTCATCACTACAAATCATATCTTCAAATTAAGACATCTAATGGTTTTAATTGTTTAAATAATTATTGTATTTTGTACTATAGATCATATAGGAAATTTAAAAAAAAAAAACTAAAAAAATACCAGCAAAATATTACAAAATAAATAATTATATTTGGTTGATAAATAATGATATGTGCCAAATATTTAAGACATTTGAACAAAATGACAATTTTTGGGCCATAAAGAAATATATTGATTGAATGATAAAAAAAGCCCAAATTAGAAGTCCACTTAATTTTTTAGGGTAGCCAAAATCAAATATAAAACAGGTCAGTGATAACATGACTATAAATAGAGATAAACTCCTTGAGAGTGATGTAAGCCGTTTTTTTTTGTTTGATGTCGGCGCTTCTCTCGTTATTCACTCTGTCTGAAACCCTAATCCTTAACCCGATATTACGACAAACTCGGCGAGATTCAATACAAAACAACTGTTTTACCGGAGATTTTCTCCCGGTAAAGGCTTAAAAAATTAAAAAAAAAAAAGACATCCGAGAAATGTTGTTTTTGTGACCAACAGTAGTGATCGAAAAATAAAATATTCGTCCCGATTTCTTAATCTGTGTTGCTAAATCTTAACAGGTCGGTCAAAATCGGGCGATAATATTACAAATCTATGATGAGCTGAAATATTTTTTGTTAAACGTAGTTTTTATTTTTTATTATTTTCAATGATCTGTGTCGTTTTCCGAAATTCTTTGTGAATAAGCTTCAAGATATATTATATTTTATACATAATTCGAAATTATTTAGATGTTTTTCAAAATCGTTTTTCGAAGAGAACATGACATTGGTCGAACTTTTTCAAACTTTTATGTATTTTGTTCAGGGTTTGAAAAAATATGTAAGTTTCTAACAGATATGTTCAGCTCTACTAACAAATATATATGTAAGTTTATAACATATCTGTTCATATCTTTTTATAACATACATATGTAACTTTTATGTATTTTGTTCAGATTTTGAAAACTAAATAGTTCAATTCTTTGTCGTCTTTCTCATCATATCAGTAAGTGAAGCTTTGCTAACACTTGTTCAAAATCGCTTTTCGAAGTTATTCAAAGTCTTTTGCCGAAGTTTTTCAAATTTTTTAGTATTTTGTTCAAAATTTGGAAATATTAGGTAAGTTTATAACAAATCTGTTTAGATATATTTATCGCATATTAGGAATTTCTTGTTTAATGTTTAAAAGAATCTGTAGGAATTTTTATTTTTAAAACTTTTACGCAAAAAAATCGATTTTAATATAAAGGCAGATGTCTTGGTAAAAGTTGAATATGTTGATAATGATAGAGAAATCAAATTATTTTTCTTTCTATATTGTATAGTGTTCAATAATGTTCCACATAATTTGCTGTGTTTTTAATTTTGATTTTTTCATATAGATTTGACTTTTTTTTGTTGATTATTAATTATGGTTGATATTTCTATATTATGCAACAATCTGCCATTACATACAATGCCTTGTCAATTCTCATTCTTTGACTTTGCCAATTTCCGTTTAATATGACTTTTCTGTTGCTGAAAGTATGTTTTTAATGCATTAAAATATTGATGTTTTAGATATGTTTTGATGCTATAATCATGCAGAAATTTGTCCCGCCACTTTTTTCTTAAAGAGGAATTGTTTAATGAAAATTAATCATTTTTATATTTATAATTGTGAAATAATTTTTTTTTTCACGGCCAACAGTTATTTTGTTTTAATGAAAAATATGAGACAATTGATTCAAGACACTTTTTAATTTATAAAAAAAGAATGTTGATTGCGATAATCAAATATGCAGAAATCATGCATTTTATTGAATAGTAGTAATATAAAATATTTTATTATTACTACCAAATAGAAAGTCAAAGAATGTTAATTTTGCACTATTAATTATGATCATATGGATTTTTTTTATACATATGTTTTTTCAATGAACTTTTTAAATGATAATATTGACAATATAGACTTTGCTATAATAATTATATAGACTGTGTTATAATAATAATTTATTTATTTAATTCATAATTCATCTTATTATGCGTATAGTCTAAGTTTATAAATTATATGTCATTTAAATGTATCTATACTACTAATTTATAAGGTTTCACCATTTGGGGAGCTAAATTTTTAATTTTAGTTATGAAACTAATCTTTCTTATCATTTTGTAGTTATATATTTGATTGAGTATGGCTGGAAATTAAATTACAAGAAAAATAATTTCATTTTTTATATTGTAATGTAACATGATATGTATTATAATGTTTGTAATTAATACATTTATTAATATTTCTTATAACTTTAATTGCTTATTCAATTCATAATGAAATAAAAAATAATAATATATAGTTTCTGCACAACAATAATGACTGTCACGTTTATATATATAAATGAGAATAAGAAACATAAATGTGGGATTAACTAAAAGAAATTTTTTTAATTTAGTCATTAACTAATTAAGTTTAACTAAAAGAAACATTCTTAAATGTGAGATTAATGAGTAATTAATTAAAAAAATGTAACTTCTTTTGGAGGGAAAATGAAAATGTTTTTATTAAATGTTTTATTAAATGAGGTTAGCTAGCAATTATATATATATAGATTTTTCAATTTTTAATACCCGCAACAGGGAAAAACATAGTTTATTGTGAAAAATTAATGTAACTTTTTCCAACCTTTTTTTTTTTGGTACCGATGGTGTTCAAATAGTGAATTGATTCGGGGGTGTCCCCACTCAGCCACGCGCCAAACGTCCCGGCGGTGCCACAAAAGTTTTTGTTTCGGCGTGTGCGAATTTAAACTCTACTAAACGTCATTTAGTTAATGCAATTTTTTTTTGGAAACAATAGAAATTCAATATTGCAAACACATAATTACAAGCTACAAACTAGTCAGCATATACCTCTTTCCACTACAAACGTTTTTTTTGAGTTTGTGAGTTTTTTACGTGGGCTTCTTCACACTTTGTCTGATTCCGTCGTCCATCTAGACAGAAAGGAATAGATACGTGGGCTTGTCGAGTTCACCTAGACTTCTTTTTTTATTGTTACGTGGCCTCCAAAAAAGCATGTGGGCTCGAAAAACAACCATCTTTCTCAAGCAAGAGATCGCTCGACACCGCTCTTGGGAAATGCCCCATCCCTCAAGACGAGGAGAGCAACAAGCGATCCCATCTTTAGGATGGCCTTCGAACAATCATCCTTCCCTGGTGACAACCAGTGGCAGAGATATTACTTCCCTGTTACACCGTCTGTGCTGCCACTATGGTCGATGCGGTAGCAGCATGTGAGGTATGGTGCGTGGCCAGTTGCACCACCTGTGATGCCGCGTTTGCCATTATCCTCTCCATTTCTTTCCTTGTCACCGCCACCATCTGGTGACCTGTTCTCTCCGTCCACTCTCGGTGGCGCTATCACCTTCACAATCTCTCCCGCTGGTTGAACTCCGACTACATCTGGTTGTAGTCGTGCGGGCAACACCACTCCTTGTTGTGCTCGAACCTCTTGCGCTCAGCTCGAGCCTATTTCCGCTACAGGTATCGCCGATGAACTCCCAAAACCTTGAGGAGCAGGAGTTGGGGTCACCGGGGTTGGAGAAGGTCCAGAGAAGCCCGAAGGAGGGCCAACTTCGAACGGCCTCGTCGTCGTCTACGCATCATCAAACGACGGCTGTAAAGTTTTCCTTGAAACTTTGTCCGTCATGGATGGAACACAACTTTTGAACGAACTTCCCATAGACGACGCCAAAATGGTACGAAAAGGACTTTCGATCGACTTGCTCACGCGCTCCTTCGCTGGTTGAATGCCTTCGACCTGCAAAAACTCTCACACCGGAGGGAGTTTTCTGATGTAGAGCCTCCGATGCTTAAATGAGTATGTATAGAAGATGATTTCTGGAAAAATGTAGATTAATATGAACGTAATGTTTGAAAATACGCATCTCACCCATATATATAAAGGTGAGGCACATTTTTCTAAGAGGCTGCCCGGATGTGATGAGCTGGCCACCCGAGCTGTCAGATAGTACGATTCCTCTGTCAGAATGTGTCAGAGGCGGTTATGAGGCGCGCATCAATGGGATGACACCACATGTCTTTGCCCACATGGGGCTTAAATCCTCCGATATTCCATCTTATCTTCAAGGGCTCGACCAGCTCTAGGTCAGTTTGAGGTGAAGCGCTGGCTGCTTCGAGTCTGGATCTTGGTCGATCCGGCGACCATCTGTTGATATAAGTCGAGTTTCGACCAGGTTATTCGAGGGTCCTGACTCGACCTATTCTCCATGTAATCCCCTTTAAGTTGTCTTCCGGATCAGATGCTCTTAATTTTATGATGCTCGACCATGACCACTCCATTCGGAATTCCGCTTGATCAGGCGGCCCGCTCGGCCCACTCGTCCGGTTTACTCCCTTGGGTATAGTATCCCATATCATCTATATTCTTTTTATGTCAGCTCAATCACAAATATGCACAAATAAGGGCTCTATACTCGTGCAATAAAAATAAAAGCTAAGAATTTATAAACAAAAGGCAAACAAAAATAAAAGCAATAAACTCAATTTATAAATTAATAAGAGTACTCAAACATCCTATAATCACAAAATAGATGGCCTAAAATTTAGTTTATCTCCAAAAAATAAATATTGAGTTTGAAAAGA